GAGGATCACTTGAACCCAGGAGGTGGAGGCTGCAGTGAGCTGAGATTGCACCGCTGCACTCCAGCCTGGGTGACAGAATGAGATCTTGTCTCAAAAACAAACAAACAAACAAACAAACAAACCCCACTCCAGCATCCCTCCTTTAGGAATTCGGAAGCCTTTCCTGAAGGCTTTTTGCTGTTGTCTGTAGCTCACTCACACTGCAGGACCTGTCTCCCTTTGTTTCTGCCGAGGGGGCCTCATTGGATCCTCTCAGTGTCCCCACATTCATGCACCCATGCCAGGTGAAAGGAGTGTTTCCCGTCAAGGCAGGGGCTAGCCCCGGCTGAAGCACCTGACTCGGGGTCTCTGCCCCTACTCCCACCCACCGAGGTCGACGTCCTCTGCACGCGGCCACTGGGAGTAGGGCACATTCTTGCAGAAGGCCTCCAGGATCTTCTCCTTGACCTGTGTCAGCGTGTCAGTGTCCATGGCCCGCACGCTCAGCGAGTCCATGCCACAGCCCTGGAAGGACACGTTCAGGTTCTGCAAGGGGAGAGTGGGAGAGAAAGGTCAGTGAGTTGCTGCCATCACTATGCCGGTGCCCAGGCAGCCATGCCCTGCCCAGGAAGGCTGGGTCAATGCCGTAGGCCAAGACGCACCAGCCCTGGGACCCTCCCCACCCTGCCGACTCACCCGGGGCTTGGCCTCAATGTTCTCCCGCAGCAGCCACTCCTCATTGAGTGTGTAGCGGGCCTTGCCCGTGATAGCGTCGATGGAGCCCTTGTTGATTTGCTGCTTGATGGCGCACAGCAGCAGGAAGAATGGCTCCCCCACCGTCTCCTGGGGTGCACGGGGGTATCAGGGCCAAGGTCCCCTCTGTATTTCAGCCCCCACGCCTTGGGCCAAACACCTTCACGCCCCCGTCCCCCAACCCCTCAGTCTCCTTTTGGATCCTGGTGTAACACTCTCCTCTCCAGGGTGTCTCCACGGACCCTAAGCTTGTGTTCATTAAACAGCACCAGTTGTGGGTGGGGGCATTCATTGCCTCATCCCAGCGACCCTTCCGGATACACAGTATCATCTTTACTGTGCAGCCAACAGTGCCGAGGCTCAGAGAGGGCAAGTGACCTGCCCAGGGTCACCCAGCTGGGAAGCGGCAGGGCAGGAATCGGACCTGGCTCGGCTGACTCCCAAGCCTGTGACTTTCTCCTAAGTGGGCGGCCCCAAGGGTGAGTTTAGGTGGACCCGGAACACCGATGTGGCCTCGACCCCACTCGCAGGCTGATGACCGTGGAGTCTCAGGCGGAATGAGGCTCAAAGTCCCTGCTCTTGCCCATCTCCAAGGGTGGCCCTCCAGGCAGTGGCTCTGCTGGATCCACAGCCATGAGCTGATTCTCAAGGCCATTGTCCAGCAACGGACCCAGGTGTTCTACTGGGATAGTTTTACTTAACTACCCACCAAAATTGATTTAAAGAAAAATTAAGTACATAATAGTATTAGGCAGATTTGGCAAAGATTACGAAGGCAGCCTGCCAGCCCAAGTCCTGGTCCAATTCTCCAGGTCTGGGGCGTGGGAGGCACTGATTCCCTGCTTTCTAGAGGAGGAAACAGGCTCACAGGGGAAGGCCTGGCTGAGGTCACACAAAGAAGCCAGGGGAGTGAGGTCCAGGGTCCACAGTGGCCCTTGTGGTTCCTGATGGCCCACAGTGAGGCAGCCCGCGGAAGGTGAAAGTACCCCAATGGCCCCTCGCAGGCCCTGCCTCTGCTCCACCCCACTACCCCCTTCCCCCAGAAGGGGCCGTGGGGCTCCCTCAAGCCCCCGGCTCAGGGGCAGAGGCCCCATTTGACAGAAGGAAACCAAGGCCCAGAGAGGGCAATGAGTAGCCCAGAGTCACACAGCTGGGATGTGCCAAAGATCAGACTCAAGCCCAGGACATCCTGGCTGGGTGCAGTGGCTCACCCCTGTAATCCTGGCACTTTGGGAGGCCAAAGCGGAAGGATTGCTTAAGGCCAGGAGTTTGGGACCAGCCAGTGCAACAAAGCAAGACCCCCATCTCTTCAAAAATTAAACAACAACAACAACAACAACAAAAACAGAACATCTGAGGCCCTGGTTCTGGGCTCCAGGCAGGCCTTTGCCTTTCTCCCACAATCCTCCAGGCAGCCCTCTAGCCTCCGGCACTGTAGGGCAGCTGGACGGTGGGACAAGACCAGAGGCTGAGCAACCCTTGCTCTGCAGAAGAGAGCTTACGGGGGTCCTTCTGGCAGAAGGCAGGAGGCCCTGCCTACCAGGCCCACCCTCTTCCCAGCCTCCGCTCTCATCTGGAAGATTCTCTGGCCTTCCTTCCATTCCTTCCATGAACATCCCCTCCTCCTGGCCTCTGCCCTCCTGCTGTACCTGATGCCTGGAGCACCCTCCCCACCATCCTCGCCCGGCTCACTCTCTGCTGTACCTGATGCCTGGAGCACCCTCCCCACCATCCT